TTTCTATATTAATCTGAGTTGCAGACTTAATTTCAACCAATTATTGAAAGAAAATAAATAACGTTAGATTGCCAAAATGAACAATTTGCACCACAAAACATATTCATCATTCCACATATACCCCCAGAAGCTCTGCACAACTTTCAGTCAGCCCATACTAAAAAAATGTTCAACAATATGTGCCAGCAAATTGCTAGATGTTTTTTCAATTCGTCCTGCATTACATCAGTGTGGAGTTATGCATGTTATAATGTATATAGGTTTGAACATTACTGAGTGATACACATAAGTATTTGCAGTGATAGGTGTAAGTTTAATAGACAAAGCAGCAGTTAGGAGGAAGATACATACCTGTTCTTGGGTCTAAAATGGCAACATATGGATATTCACTAACTTCATAAAACTGTATATATTTCTGGCCTTCATCACTGTCATGATAAACCTACAGTTAGAAATGAGAACACGGATTCAATTTCTAATGAAAGCATTTACTTGATATTATTTTAGCTAATTTACATGTTAAAGCTAATCTGTGCACATGCATGTAATTAGGTTCACAATAAAAGTTTGAAAATAATGAGGTGCAATCACAGGTAAGGTATTAAAACACTGAAATTTAACTCAGGTTTGATCATAAGTTTTATGACGATGAGGTAATAGGTATGACCGTAAGCTATAATAACAATTACCGATATTGATACAACTGTGTTGCACATACCATAAAAAAGTACAATGTGCACATGCACAGTTCTGATGATAATGTCCCTTTAAACTTTAAATGAAAATTCGTCATGACTTTAATCTAGAGAACACAGGCATAAGAACTCTATGAACTCGCTAGATGATATCAATTATGAAGTTGAAAATTAAACCCACCTGCCAGAAAACAAAATGCTCTAATATAATACTTTTAACAACAGAGTTACTCCAGACATCTCGGTTCAATTGTTGACAGGAAAACTCCTGCACATTTTGTACATTCACTAACAGCCATTTACAATGACTCTGTCCGGTTTCTCTTGCCTATGGTTGGAAAAATAAAGTAACAAATATAATAATAGTAATATTCTACACGACTCCTGGCATATCAATAATACATACATGGTGCTTTCAATGGTATAAGAATTACTACAATATTACTATAAACTATTGTTTACATGTATTGAGTCATGTATTTCTCAGGCTGTTTTCTGAATCTGAATGCGTAAAGCAAATTCGAAGCACATTTTCAAAGCAAATCATAGTGTTGAAGCAAACATTACGGCAAGATTAATCAAATATACAAGTTGGTTATCATATGTACAGAGTAAATGCCATGTATGTCCATGCTTGCGTGAAATGCTATCAATCAAAGCATCATGGAAACACTTGTTGCAAAATGAAAGTGATGCAGCTCGTTGCCAAAGCATTGTGGGAAAGGGTGATAGTAAAAAGGTCTGGAGAAAACATTGTTTAAATACTTTGACAAATACAAAGCTAAGACGTGCAAGATATGAGGAAACTCTTACAGTATTGAATGTTCCTCTATGCATAATATCAATGGGTGGACGAAATAAATCTTCCAATGTCTTTTTCTTTGTAGCTGGTTTGCCAGCTGCTAGATTTCTCAT